TCTCATTCACACACAAGTTTACGTTAAAAACACACATGAGTTACAAAAACAGTGGGTTATGTCTGTGAAGGTAAACAGCTGGGAAATAAATTGCTTGTTTATTTTAGATCTGTGTTGCAGCAGCAATATACAGTAAATAAATCAATAAATGCACTGCTCTGTCGTCTCCTCTGAGGCTGGGACTCTAAACAGTGTTCTGTGCTCGCCTGTGCAGCCAAACACAGAACAGTTAGCATGTTTTGCTCAAACTTTCTCCATGGCATTAGAGCTGGTACACCGTTGTCGCTTGCAAAATCAAATAACGGCGCCATGGGTGGAAACTTACAGATTAAGGGGCGGTAATATTATAATGAGATCCCTTTGCAACGTCACTAGGGGAGCGAGATCAGACGCGCTCGTTTTCTCAGACGCTTGTAGAAAAAAGCTTATCAAAACAAAGTTACTGGGTTCATCTTTTTCACATTTCCTTGATTGGTAGATGCACCGTGGACCTGATTATAGCACTTAAAAGCTGGAAAAGTCAGATTTTCATGATATGTCACCTTTAAAGCCTAGCGGGCCTTAACAAGGCTCTTGTTACCTAAACAGTGTTAATGTTGTAAAGCAGCTATACAGTGAGTCAGGTCTACTCGTGAGTCAAGAAGAGTTTAAGCTGGCATATTTAATGAGCGTTAGGTGCTCTTGAGTGAAGAGGAAGAAGTCGGTGTACTCTGTTGTCATGCAGTCTAATGTGTTTTTTCAGTCTCTGATTGTGTGAACGTTCTCTGAAGCTTGTTAACATTCATACAGACGCACATGCAAATAATATGCAGTGTGCAATGTTAGGCTCTTCATATCTGAGTGCTGCTGTGACTGTCCCCAATAACTCCTAATTTATTGGAAGTTGTCAACGCCGCACGCAGTGACTCCCTTTGTTTCTCCAGCAACTATGTAAATGAAGTGGCACACGCTTTCTGTGCTTTTAAGTTTGTGTTGTGTTGACAGTGAACGCGTGTGTTTTCAGATGGTGTTTCCCGCGCCGGGTCCGCTCTCTTCAATGAGCTGAGGAAC